AATTCAACAGGAATCGTTGAACGACCTATTTCGAAACGTCAATCTGTTCTCATAACCTCGAATTCTGCGGGGTTTGGTGTTTACAAGTAATCCATACAACGCCAAACATTTGAATGGTTAAATGCAAACAAGCTATTGTCTGTGTAATCTTCTGTTTATCCACGCTTATCAAGCAGCTTCTTGTATTCAGTTAATTAACTCGTGCTCCATTTGTATCTCCTTGTGCTGTGTGTATCGTACAAACGCCTTTCCTCAGTATTTACTTGGTGCTTGGGAAAGTGTCAGTTATTGTGTCCTGAGTACCCCTGGAAGAGCCTGATTCGATTATATCCAATACTTATTCCTCTGTGTCTGGAACTTGAACATCGATTGTCGTCCACTATCTTCCTGGAACCACTCTTCTCGCCCTTTGTTGGCGTGAGTTCTTTCAGCTTCTGCCATGTTACTGTAGCATTTCACTGTAGCAAGTAAGTCACAGTTTGACAAATTATTGTTATTATTGACAAGGGCCATCCACCTGTAACTATCTGTTAATGGCAAAAAACATCATTGCCGCTTTGAATTTTCATCAAAAAATTGTAGAACAGAACTTTTTCAAAATCGAAAATTTTTGTAATATGAAGCAAAGATCGTAATTTTTCTTTTTGAATGCTTAAGTATTCCAATATGCTGCCAATTAAACATGGAACTATTTCAAAATAATGCTTAATAGCACAGGTGAAATTCGATCTTCAACTGTTAATATCTTCTAGAAATTTTGGAAAAAAAATTTTTCAATATTTTTCTCGTACTCTCCAAGTGAGCCTCTATCACCCCTTAAAAAGAATGACGCCAATTTTGAATTACCCTGTATTACTGAAATCGTAATAAAATGCTCTATTTAATGACACACAAAAATGACAGTTCTCTTCAGCTCAGCTTCAGTCTCTTGACAGCTGTCAAATTTTGAGTAATCAATTTTGAGGAAGAAAAAAAATCAGTTTTGAGGAATCAAAATTTGTTTTGAGTAGAGCCTTTAAAACTGCAATTATTTGCCCATTATTCTTCTCGGATCTGCTGTGGTTTCAAAGATTCTTGTACTTATAATCAAAAATAACTCACCCTGTATATTAATACATATTTTGCTATTAAAGTAAAATAATATTGAAAAAATTGCTATGAATTGCCAAATAGACCGGGCTCTAGTTGAATTGGTTAATGTAGGTACCTACTTTATCTCAACATATTAGATTGATCAGAACTAGTTCTGACTCAATAAATAATTTATCAATTTTCTACTAATATGTAAGTTATACCTACATACAAAGTACTAATTGTAGATTTATTTAATTTACATTAGATGCCAAAGAAAAAGCCAGACTCGACATCCATGCCGCCATTGGCCACGCTTGTTCTCAGGGGGATGTGAACTCAGTGCAACAACTCTTATCCTCCTTGCAAAACGATGCGGAACTCATTGTTAACATGGCCCCAAGCGGGGCCAATACATTATTATTTTCGTAAGTTTGCCCAATTTATTTAAACCAATTTATTTTTAACAAATGAATCATTTTATAGTGCCTGTGAAGTGGGCAATCGTCAGATAGTAAAACTCCTGTTGGATTTTGGAGCTGACGGAAGATGCCATTCTGTTACAAAATATTCTCCTTTGTACATAGCTTCTTATCAAGGTCAACGGGAAGTTGTAGAAATGCTTTTGATTAAATTTCCAGAACTGGTTCAGGTAACTAATCCATTGCTTTTTTACGGATTCTGGGAAACACCATTTGTAAGTATAAAACTTTTCTATATGTTCATTTTTAGCAACATACTGTCGAAAGATGGCTGCCAATACATGCTGCATGCATCAATGGCCATTATGCCATTTTGGAACTTTTATTTTATTTTCCTTATCCAACTCGCGTTCTGCGAAAATATAGGTAGGCACGCTATTAATATTTACAACTGCATCATATTTTGCGATTATATACTAAAGCAATTTAATTGAAAACTATCTAAAGCAAGCAAAAATAAAATACATTAAAAATATTTACAATGATTTTGAAATTACAGTTACGCACATTACATTACAACTAGTGCCCACTTAAGGCGAAAATGCGGGTTTCAATTAATTTTAAATCTAGCAAGAAAATATTGCTTAAATAATTTATTACCTGTTTCAACTTTAATAAAACGATTGATGTCATGATAGGGATGCTTCTGAACAATGGGAATATTACATGCCGTTTGATATAAACGAAAGAGATGCAACTGGCCAAAATATTTTATATGTGGCATCTTTATTAGGGAACAAGAAGTTAATCGATGTAATACTGCACTTTAAAGTCAAAGCTACTCGCATTATACAGTCTGGAAGTTCAGTAAGTACCTAGACATAAGAGCAAAACATTGGTTATGTGTGAAACGTTTGTTTTTGTATTGTTAATAATTCCTTTACACATAGTTTCAAACACACCTAGAACATAGTTTCAAAAAGTTGCAGCATCTTGGGCCTTTTAATTTCGTTAGTTGAAAAAATTAGCAAAAACACGTTTAGGAATATATGCGCGTCGGTCCAGAACACTTTAAAAATATCTTATTCTCTTCTTCGTGTAAAAGGACAACGTCCTGTCAATTCTGTCATCAGCCTTCCTGTGATCCTGATGTCCAGCTTTCATACTGGCGTTTTGGGGGCCTGCCAGTTTTGGCCTACTTTGTAATTCGGTCTGTAGTGATTCGTTCTATGTGGTCTCATCAACACTAGCGTCTCTTTCTCACCCATCTGACAACGTCCTGCATTCCCAGTTATCTTCTGGTGTTCTCGATGCGTATCCTCTCATGCAATGTGGTCCCTTTTATTGTTCTTAGGATTTTGATCTCCGCTGTTATCATTTTCTTTTTGGTAACAGACGTTTCAGCTCTTGTCTCGGCGGCGAAGGTCATTATGGGCCTGGCGCAGGTCTTATAAATTCGTGCCTTGCTCTATGTGGTCATATATTTGTTCTTATAAATTATATCTTGCAAACACTCTGATACTCTTACGGCTTTTCTGAGTTGGCTGTACACCTCATTGACTGCTTCTGCTGCTCGATTCCTATACCCCCAGATAGTTGAAATTAATCGCCTGATGTGCTCATTAATGCGCTCACTCACTACCAACTTACATCGGATCGGATCTTACGATTTTACCATAGATTATGTTTTTTCGTTCAAAATTTGCATATTAAGCCTCTGTGCTGTTAGGTTGAATGGGTATAGAAGGTGTTGTAGGTCATCTTCGCTCTCTGGTATCAAGATTGCATCGTCTGTGTAACAGAGTATTCTCAGGCGGCGGTTGTTCGTCCTGAATCCTGCATCGACGTTCCGACTTTATATTATTTGGTCCATTATGATTTTAAAAAGCCATGGGCCAAGACTACCTTCCTGTCTAATGCCGGATGAGACTTTAAGTTCTCTTGTTAGACCACATTCTGTTCTTCACATTATTTTATTGTTTATGTTAAGCCGCTTTATTAGGTTTATGGGGCACTTATTAACATATTTTTGGTTCAGTCGGTCAATTACATCCTTAAGCTGTACATTGTCAAATACTTGCTTTAGATCTACAAAGAATGTGTACATTGGTTTATTGAATTCAATGGATTTCTCTATCAATTGGCGTAATAAAAATATTGCGTCTGTCGCTGATCTATTTCAGCGAAAGTCCTGCTGGTCCTCGGAAATTCCTACTTTATCAGTTATTTTGTCTGCTAATATTTTTGTTAGCAGTTTTAGTATACTACTTAGTAACGTGATGCCTCGGCAGTTTTTCCGGTCCGGTTTTGGGCCTTTTTTACATATCGGTATTGTTATGCTAGTTCTCCATTCTTTGGGTTAGCTTTGTTAGCAGGTTAGCATTCCGCTTTGTTTTATTTTTCCGAATAAAACTTTTCTAAATCTCAGATTTTGTGACCTCCGTACTTAAGTAATTTATTTGAAATGTTGTCATTGTGACTGGAGATTTTCGGGTCTTTAATCTCTGTATGGCCGTTAGTTCTTCTCTCAGTCAGATCGATTTTCCATTTCTGTATCATCGCTGTTTTCGCTATTGTTTTCATATAGGTTTTCAAAGTATCTTACCCATGTTTCTTGGTTTATTGCATTTATTTCTAGTTCCTCATTGCCTCATTTTTTTTCTTTCGTAGCCTGTTCCAGATCTTCTTCTGGCCCCGTGTAGGTCCATTTCCACCAAGAACCTTTCCCAGTATGTTCTTTTGCGGTGTTTAATCACTTCTGTTGCTGTCTCTTTTGTAGACTTCATATTGTTCGGGTGATCTGTTGTTGATGTACCTTCTGTAAGCGTTTTTTTCTCTTTTGCTAATTCCCTGACTTCTGTGGTGAACTATGGCTAATTGTTTCTTTTATTTGTGTTTATTGCCCTTTCTCCTAGGGCTTCCTTGACACTGTTCTTTACGTTGTTTTTTATTTCTTCCCATGCGTCTTCTCCATTTTCTTTTCCTGTTATTGTATTGTATCTGGCCGTATGTCGAATATCTTTGCTACTTCCTCCACGATGTCCCTGGCTTTAGTTTTACGTCTTAGCTCGGTGTTTCTAATGTGGTCTCTTAATGATATGCCAAGCATGCTTTGTTTTACCGCCCTTTGGGCTGTCTCTAATTTTTTAGCAGACTTTTTGGTGAGGGATTGATAAAAAATAAGAATAATCCCGATTTTTCAATATATCTTAATCTTAATTAAAAAGTAAATTAATTATGTCATTTTTCTAGGAAGATGATTTGACTCCTTTATCTGAATCTGTAGTAAGTCCAACTAGAAGACGTATTTCAGACGGGATTATGAGTATTATGTCAAAGTTGCACATCTCAAAAGATTGTTCGGCAGATAACGAGGCAAGTACCTACTGATCCCTTAGTTCATTGTTCCTGAAGTCATAATTTTTCTTTGATTTTCAGTTTGACGGTAACACCAAACCTGTATGTCCCCTTCGTATCGATATGTACTGCAATAATAATACAGAAACAGCACTACATGCCGGAATTAGAGGCAAGCACTATGACATAACATTAGCTCTATTAAACGCAGGAGCAAATGCAAACGCTATTATAAAGCCGTATCATAACATGAATGATGTACGTTTTTACAGATTTTCTTCTTACCAATTACTTATACTAAACTTTATGACAACATAATAAATTGTAGAAGCTTTATCATAATAATGGCGAAGTTTTGATAAAATGATTACCCGAATTCACCAATATGTAACGGTGGTCGGGTTTTATCGAGATTTTGTTTCACGAGAGAACGACTAGATATACGTATAACTGACCCCTACAAAATAATTCCCCGCAAAGAGAAACCTCCAATTTTTTTTTAACTTTAATACCCTGTGTCTCGTTAACCATGGGCCTGAGAGAAAAAACTTAAATGGAAACGACTTGTTTTGAGTTTGTCAATCATCCTGTATACTTCTACAGTTTCACATTGTCTATAGTATCTATACAGGGTGAGCCAGTTTATATTAGCAGACCTGTAACGGTCGATAGAAAATACAATTTTAAGCTGAAAATATCATTCGAACGTATATTGAAAACGGCTTCGTTTTTTTAGATACAGCGTAGTAAAAATTATCATTTTATTTTATGTTTTTTAATATTTCACGCAAATCTTTGTAATAAAATATACAACATACTGTAATAAAATTATATATTCTGGGACATATCCCAATACCACATCCAATCATTAGAAATTTACTAAAAATCTAAAATCGTTTATTTTAAGTTTGATACTTTATTGTGATTAATTTGCAATTAAAAAGTTTTTTGAAAAAATCTCGAAAACGGTTACTGTTAGCGCAATCGAACAAGAATACCTTTCTTACGGTACAAAAAAGTTAGTATTATTTAAATTTAAATTTGGCGAAAACTTGGGCATTATTGGATGTGGTATTGCGATCAATCACGGAATTTATAATTTTATTGTAGTATCTTCAGATTTACTTAAAAACAATTTAAATAAAATATTAACTTTGCCATTGTGACAGTCAAAAACGAAGCGGTTTTCGATACATGTTTGCATTATACTTTCGTCTTAAAATTAGATTTTCTTTCGACCGCTAAAGTCCTATCGTATTATAAACTGACTCACCCTGTATATTTAATAATGTAATCACACGTACGATGTTTTGGGGCACTCTGTATATTTAATACTAATTTTACAATACGACACACTTAAAACTCTGTATGTTCTCATTGGTACGATTAATAAAAACGTTTCGATACCTCGTGAGATAAAGTCTCGAGTATTGTATTGTATATCAAAAGTTAGCAAAGTTAGCACTAATCTTTTAATACATTTTAGGATGTCAGCTCTTGTTCAATAGAGGATGATTTAAACTATACATCATCGGGCCTTGTAGAAGCTTGCCGAAATCGTGATGTTCCTATTGTAGACCTCCTGCTCAAACGTGGAGCTAGAGATGATGACTGCAAAGCTTTAGTGATAGCTGTGACTAACAAAGATGAGACCCTGATAGCAAAACTTTTGTCTACCAAAGTAATTATTCGGTTTTGGCATTCACGTAAACAGTTTTTTATCGCATTTAATCAATCAGTCTGAACATTGTTTAATCATGTTAATTCGGCTTACTGTTAGAGCCTTTACTCAATAGTTCTAATTTATTACAGGCACATCCTGATCCAGAGTACAAGATAAATAAAAAGTCCATGACGGAAAATATAAACTCCACTCATATAACTATGTTTGCCAACATTTCAAGCTTGACTTACTCCAGCTTATTCCCAAATACTCCTACCATGATCAATTGGCACAACCAAAAATGTGGTTTAAGTGAAATAAAACTTCAATGGCTTATTGATGCTGCCTTAAATCTAAATCCGAAGCTGAAGCAAAATCCACGAAGCTACGATATTGCCTTGTTTTCTATAACGAGATTGGACGTGTCAAACAATAACATCAGCCAAATTCCATTGGGCGTATTTCAACTGCAGAGCTTGAAATATTTAAATTTGTCTCAAAATAGAATTGAGATATTGCCTATTCCTGAGGTACCACCAGTCAAAAAGGGGTCCAAGAGGAAAGTTAGAAAAGAAAATTTGAGTTACTGCTGCCCGCTTCTGGAAGAGTTGTATTTGCAAGAAAATAGACTGAATCAAGTTCCAGATGCAATTTTCAAATTACCTAATTTAATAACGTTGGTTATTTCAAATAATAAGCTGCAACACTTGCCTTACGATATGTGGATGGCTCCGAAATTGAAAGAATTAAATGCCTCATTCAACCTTTTAAAGGAATTACCTTCAGCACCCAATGAGGTACTTTAGATTCAACTTAATATTTCTTTTTGATGATCGGGCAGATATGGGTTGTATGCTTTTTCAGTGATTTAATACATATTTGATGTGTGTTGTAGGTAAAAGAAAATTTGGACAGAATGAGCGTTAGTTCAAGCGAGAGTCATCTATCTAATTTAACTGAAAACGATTCCGAAAGTGAAATAACCGAGTTTGATAAAATGCTTTGTCACGAGGAGTCCGTTCCTGCAGTAAAATACCGAAAGAAAGAAAGGTCATATTTGTAAGTAGGAATAAATCATTATTTGAAAAGTTTCCAACAGTGCTGCAATTTGTAGTTAGACATTCTAAGGATTTAACTTTTATCAAGGAGGTACTTTTCATAAAAGTTTCGAAATATTTCACTGATTGTGTATCTGTTCTAAATTAAAAAATGTCTAACAAGGATATCTAATTTTACACATCATGCAGTCCGTTTTTTATGTTCAACCAGGCAGTTGAGTAAATTTTTTAACTACTTTTTAGTCAATTGGACGTAAATCACCATCACATCTGGAGCAAAAATGTAGAAGTAACTGAACAAATATTCCATTACGATGAAACGTCTCTCGAAAAGTGTTCTCAACTCTCCGCTTTAAATCTGGCCCATAATTTATTTACCAGCATTCCAGTGGTGCTTCCTTGCCTGGCAGTAAATCTTACTAGACTGAATATGGCTTTCAATACTTTGAGGTCTATGTCTCATATTACCAGCTATCCAAGTTCCTTGAAACAGTTAGATTTGAGCCATAACCAGATCACCGTATGGCCTAGCCTTCCACAGGTTGAGGCTCACGATAATATGGAACTAGCTAATTTGGCTTGTTATATGGATAATGTAGCTTTTAAAGGCAAGTCTGCTGAAGTCGGCGGTAGGTACTGAACTTTACAATAGTTTTATAATCGTTCCTATTACCCTTCTGTCCATGAAAAGAACTAGTAAATTTTTTATTGTTTAATACTGTAAGTACATCTTCTTCTGGTGCACTCCATTACTGGAGGTTTGCGATCACTACATCAAAATCTTTCCTATTCTTTGCCGCTCCTAGTAATTGAACGTTCATGTCTGTCCAAGTTCTGATGTTACGTAGCCATGACATTGTTCTTGTGCCGACTCCTTTCCGGCCTTCTATCTTTCTTTCAACTATTAGCCTTAGCAAGTTGTATTTGTCATTTCTCATTATGTGGCCTAAGTATGAGGTCTTTCTTTTCTTAATCGTTGTTATTAGTTCAAGTTCTCTATTTAGGGTGCTCATTACTGCTTGATTTGTTATGTGTTGTGTCCATGATATTCTGAGCATTCTGCGATAGAGCCACATTTCAAAGGCTTCTAGGCGTCTCATGGTATTTAATTTTAGTGTCCACGCTTCAACTTCATATAAAAGAACAGACCAAACGTAGCATTTAATAAATCTGAGTCGAATGACTAAGTTTAGTTTACGATTACATATAATTTGCTTCCATTTGTTGTAGATGTTTCTGGCCTGTTATATTCGTGTTTTTTTTCTGAATCTGAATCCCACTTATCATTTAGTACTACTCCTAAGTATCTGAACTTCTGGACTTGTTCTAGTTGGGTGTTATTTAGATAAATGTGACAGTTTTCATCCGGTTTGTTTATTGCCATTACTTTAGCTTTTTGAACATTTATCGTCACATTGCCTCACTAGCATTATTAACTCTACCAATATGTTGTTTTGTAAATCTTCTACAGTTTCTGCAACTAGTACGGTATCGTCTGCATATCTAATGTTGTTCATATATTTATCGTTTATTTTTATACCAATTTCGACATCGTCTAGTGCTTCTTTGAATATGCATTCAGAGTATTAGTTGAAGAGCAATGGAGACATGACGCAGCCCTGTCGGACACCTCTTTGAATGTGGACGCCTTTAGTCGTATTGCCGGAATATTTTAAGGTAGCCTCTTGGTTCCAATAAAGATTTTGAATTATGCGGAGATCTTTTCTGTCTAACTTCATCTTCTGCATTTCATTCAAAATATTTCCATGTTGCACCCTATCAAAAGCCTTTTTATAATCAATGAAACCTAGATATATTTTTTTCTGGTGATCTAGGCATTTCTGAATTAGGGTTTGAGTTGTAGAGAGCCTCTTTGGTCCCTAAGGCCTTTCTAAATCCAAATTGAGAGTCACTTACATCTAGTTCACATTTTCTGTAGATGCGATTCTGTATGATCAAGCTAATGAGCCTGAATTTGTCACATTTTCGTGAGTTAGCTTTCTTAGGTATAGCTATGAATTCGGATTTAAGCCATTCCTTTGGTATTACGCCACTTTCATAGATCTTAGTAAAGAGATGTGTTAGTAGTTTTATGTTGTTATTGTCTAGTAGGTTTAATACATCTATTTCTATTTCGTCTGGGCGGCAAGCTTTCCTATTCTTTGCATACTGTATCGCATGTTTAACTTCTATGTCTAGGATTGGGGGTCCTTTCACTTCCCACGTCGGCGGCTGGTGTAATTTATTCAGGTGTGTTATCCGCGAAGGATTTTTCTATGCATTCTTCCCAGATTTGCATCTGTTCGTTTTTTTCTGTAATTCTTCCTTTGTTATCAAGGATGGGTATATTTTGTTTTTTGTTATTATAGGAGGCTTCTTTTAATTTTTTGTTGAGGTTGAATGTGTCATGTTTTCTGTTTAGATCTTCTGCTTCTTTACACACTTCATTTATCCACTTTTTCCTTGCTTGTTTGATTTTTGTATCGATGGTTCTTTGGATCTATTTGTATAACTGTGCATTGTTTTTGTGTTTTCTGCTCTCTTCCATAAGTTCCAAAATGTCTTCCGTCATCCATGTTTTCCGTTTCTTACTGTCCTCACTCTTTAGTTCTTCTCTTTGTACTCCAACTATCTTACTTTTTATAGTCTTCCATGCATCTTCCATCCCCCATCTCCCGTTATTATTGTTTCTTTCAGTTCTTCATTAAGTTTGGTAGTTACTTTTTTAAGTACATAAGTACGTAATAACATCTAAATCAAACGCACTGAAAAATTGCAGTCAATTTTATCGATTTTCTCAAGAATTGCGATATTTTACAATTGTTCTGTGAATTTTCAGTCAGGAGACATTCTTCAAGATCAGTTAGACATACAGTGTTACATTCTGTGTGTATCCACAGGAGACATTTGCGCCTTGATAATTTAAGAACCCTAATATTGGCAGACAATCAGTTCAATCGGATTCAACTTAGTACTGATGATAATGGTGATATTAGCGGTACGGATGATGAGGAACCAGAAAGAGTAAGTTCTTTATTTGCCATATGATCACTTAAACACTATACCTATTATTTTAATTCCCGTTATGCAAGGTGAACTGTTTAACATAAAACACGCTCTAATAAATGTAGTTGCATTGAGTGGTCTGAGGGTGATTTATAAATATGGGATGAAACTTCTATGGATTGATTGACAGTGCAGCAATTGGAGGTATATAGTAGTTTCCCAAGTCTTGTCCGAAAATGTATGCATCAGACTTTATAGACATCAGACTGTATATTTTCAAGATCATGTTCATTTTCTGTTTATCTAGATCCTCTTGTGATATCGATGTTCAACTCTCGTGCCATCTTTCTGGTGGTTGGCCAGGTGGGCGCTTTGAATTTGGCTGTTCGTTCTTTGCCCATTTTGGCCATCGATCATGGTTCATTATTTTCACGTGATCTTTCCAGTTTCGGCGTCTTGACCGTACAAACCGAACGATGTCCCGAACTTTCAGTTCATCACGTATGGCCGTGCTTCTTATTTGATCCCGTACTGTTATTATTTTTATTGTACCGGGTGGGCCACTGAGAGGTGGTCGGCCGTATCTCACAAACCATTAGTCGTATCGAATTCAGGTAAAAAATAATATGAGCAAAGGGACCACGATAAATTGCTGGAAATTACTTTGAAGTTCGCAAAATGGCCACTAGAGGGCGAAAGTGCAACAGTAAATTTGAAATACGGTTTTTTTTGCGGTGTCAGATAGGCTAAGGTATGTTGAAAATACTTTAGTCCTATTCCTGAGAAAATTTTACTTATTTTTTGTTGGAATCTAGTTGTTCTTGTTTTTAGTGCTAGCTTTAGGCAACTAAAGTAGTGGGGAAAGGCCAAATAAAGGTTCAAAAAGTTATTGATAACTCCATATTGGCGTAACAAAATTCAACGTTTAAATTGCATTTGAAAAGCTCCCTATTTACCGTAACACCTGCTGTAAAATATTCGCCCATATGATTGCCACTTTGGCCGCCAGAGGACGCGTTGTAAAAGGTCGTCAATCTTTTAATTATATTTAATATATTAGATTTATAATATTTTAGCTGCTTAGAAAGGGGATAAAAAAACACAGAATAGTGAAAACTACACACCGTTATATTTATTGCAACCGAAGATGTAAACAATTTGACAATAACAATGATATTATAATAAGACATGGCAATTATTGGTCCTGATAAGAACCGATTGTTATATTTCACGCATTATGAGTATTCCTGAGGACGAAATGCACCCTTGGGATTAAAACCTGCTTAGATGCTCAAAATGTTTTCCATCATTTCGAATGCATTGCTAATCCTCATTCTCGTAGCTAAAACAGCTCACTATACATACTTCTGCGACAGGAATGTGATGAATTGCATGCTTAATTTTGCTTATTAGGTCCTGTTTGAAAGTTGGTCCGGTTTGGTAAACAATCTATTTTATTGTCCCCCACAAATAAGAGTCCACATACGTTAGATCAGGTGACCTAGCAGGCTACGGGAATAAACAGCCTCGTCCTATTCATCTATCGCGATAAGCGTTGTAAAAATCGACGGACATTTACCGAAAAAGAGCCGGGCACCCATCTTGTCGAAAAAACATGTTCACTCCCTTTCGCAACGGTATGTTTTCTAGAAGTGATGGTAGTTGGTTTTGTAAGAAGTCTAAGTATATATTTCTATTTAGCTTCGGTTCAAATATAAATGGACAATAATTTCGCTCTCAATTATTTCGCATCAAATATTGACACTAAATCGACCCTGATGCTCAACTTCCTGCAGCTAGTGAGTGTTTGTCCTGGACCAGTAATGCAAATTATGCAAATTAACTTCCCCATTGATTGGTTAAAAAGAGCTTCATTTGTTCAAAGTAATTTGTAAGAAACTGATGATCATCTCGAATTATATTTAGTAGCCAATGGCAATGATCCAGAAGCTTCTCAAAATCTTGATGTGACAAAGCCTGGCGAAGAACGACGTAGTAACGATCTAACAGTCGTAAAGTCTAAAAAAATATATGTTTTAACTACCACTTTAACATTACATATTTAGCCATAAGAGTGTATTAAAATATACAATAGTGAAAATAAATGAAAAAGTAATAGATCATACAGGGTGATTCAAAATTGGCGTCATTCCTTTTAAGGGGTGATGGAGGCTCACTTGGGGAGTACAAGAAAAATATTGAAAATTTTTTTTTCGAAAATTTCTAGAAGATATTAACAGTTGAAGATCGAATTTCACCTGTGCTATTAAGCATTATTTTGAAATAGTTCCATGTTTAATTGGCAGCATATTGGAATACTTAAGCATTCAAAAAGAAAAATTACGATCTTTGCTTCATATTACAAAAATTTTCGATTTTGAAAAAGTTCTGTTCTACAATTTTTTGATGAAAAGGCACAGCGGCAATGATGTTTTTTGCCATTAACAGATAGTTACAGGTGGATAGCCCTTGTCAATAATAACAATAATCTGTCAAACTGTGACTTACTTTGAATTTCCTTTCACGAATTTGCGGATCTGCGATTAGTTCAGGGGAAATTCTACAGTAACATGGCAGAAGCTGAAAGAACTCACGCCAACAAAGGGCAAGGAAAGTAGTTCCAGGAAGATAGTGGACGACAATCGATGTTCGGTTTCCAAGCACAGATGAACAAGTATTGGACATAATCGAATCAGGGCCTTTCAGGGGCACTCTATAACACCGCCAGACAACACCCCCCGAGGAATGACGCCAATTTTGAATCACCCTGTATTTATTGACATATTATGTTTTCTCAAGATCGTACGAACTGCCGTTTGCCCTAGCCCTTAAATGAGGATTGAACTCAATTGACTCAATATATGGTAAAACATTTATAACATTTTCCTCAGTGCGACCACTACGGAATCTTCACAATCTAGACGGTGGATGCTTCCTGTAGTCTGTAATCGTTGCTCAAGACGAGTGAAAAATCTGCAGTTATATCGGTGTCTCCCTGGGAAACGCGCCGCACCTCATACACTCTTGATGCAATAACTTCACTTTGCAAGCATTCAAAGTAAACTGCTAACATCTCAAAAGCATCTTCGTTTGTAAGAGGGATTTTAGAAGAGTCTAAAAACTTCAAGATTGACTAGATTGTCAAGCAAATTTATTTGTTATTACGAAACGGAATACTTGACGTAAAAACGCTATAAAATTATTTATATCTTCAGTTGCAAAAAATTGTATCGATATGCGGTTTTCACTATTTCGTTCTCTTTCTACGCAGCGTAAATATTACATAATTTCATTTAAAAAATTGAAGAAAAACGACAAAGTTTGACGACCTTTGATGACACGCCCTCTCGCAGCCAGATGCAATCATAAGAGCGAATATTTTAAAGCATGAGTTAAAGTATAAAGTAAATAAAGAGATTAATTTACTAAAATTTAAATTTCGAATTTGGTTAAGCCAATGCGGAGCTATCAATGACTTTTTGAACCAATATTTAACTTTCTGACATGCACTAAACTTTTTCTAACCGCGTCCTTACCTAAGTATACCTTAAAATTTAAGTCCGACTTAAGCTTCAATGAGTTGCACCATCCGTTTTTCACGTGTTCTTAGCTAAGCTTCAGGCAATAACGAGAACTCAGTATTTTTCGTTCTGTTATGTATGTCTGTGTTGTTTCTAACCGAAATTCGAGATCTTTTTAAAATTTTGTTTCACTAATGGCTACAAAACAGAAATGGTCTCTTAATTTTAGCGCTTCTGAAAGAGATACTCTTTTAGAGCTCGTCGCGTTTCATTAAGATGTCATCGAAAATTAAAAAAACAAAACAAATGCCGTGCCTTCCCAAGAAAAGCAGCGAACATGCTAGAAAATAACGGGCGAATTTAATGCTATTTGTTAAAACAATTAATAATTCATTTTTAAACAACAATTCCGCGTATGACCGCAACAATCAGGAAATTCTACAATAACCAAAAATAAGGCATCCGGAAGCACATTTCCAATCAGAAAAAAACGTTATTAAACTGGTGGCGGAGGAGTTGTGCCTTCGGTTCCAAGGGGCAATGCAGATAAAATATTATCCATAGTAAATAATAAGATCTTGTATGGATCATTCACTTGCTCCTTTTGATGGTAATTGGGTACAGCCAAATGAAACTCCGCCATCTCTCATTTTCCCAAATAGTCAGAAAGGGCGTTCATGAAACATTGAAATTCAAAATTCATGATGTACGTAGGTACTTATTTCTTGAAAATAGGACATTACGATTACGCATTTATATACGTATGCTGTATATTTGACTAACTAGCGTGACTAGACTAAAGTGAGGTTGGAAGAAGGCTGTCATGCTTAAGTACTCGATAACGAGTCCTTAAATTTAAGATTTTCAAAGACGAACTTAAGATCGTGTCATCGGTTGGTGTAATCCATTTTTGCAGTTAGGCTCGAACTTAACGCTCAGCATAACCTTCCTTAAATAAATAAGTGAAGTTCTCTCAAGAATGGAATGAAAATACTTTCAACATATTGTACCGTGGATGGCCGGGTATCAAACTCTTCAGCTTCCAACTTTTATTCCACTCGATTTAACTTTAAATACGGAACAGGAACAAACTAACTTCAAAACTACCGTCTACTTCACAAACAATAACAATAACAGACGGCTCTTCCGGGGTTTAACCTCTTCTGCACCCGGTCGTTGCTGTCACTTCACTGACTCACCTCTGGTTCTCGTCGCCGCTTATATAGTTTCCTCCAGGTAACCCAGACGGTTCCCGAAATCTCCAGCTCAGGTGCGAAATTTCTCGCTTGTCAGTGTCATATTTGACAGTAAATGGGGCGCAAATGCGGCTCCCATTTACTGAAATACCATCAATTTCGATCCCCCCATTTCAAACGTGAGTACCCCAGGCCATTTCCGTTACACTGCGCCCCCTCTAATCGCCCCGATTAGGTAATTCCTGGATCATCGTTATATCTGGCCAAACGGTGAATGTGGACAACTTTAAATTTTGCCTGA